GGCGTGTTTTCTCCCCGGCGTTTGATCGCGCCAGGGAGAAAAGGCGGCGCGGCCGTGGGATCCGTGGGATCCCGCCGCGCCGTGTCAACGTTGGCGCAGCTTTTAAAAGCCGCGCCTTCAAGCGCCTTTTCCCATGCCGTATGGCAGGGGCCGTTACCGGCTAAATATCAGGAGAAGCTTCCTAACTGTAAGAGTGGTTGAGCAGTGGAACAGTCTGCCGCAGGAGGTAGTGGATGCTCCTTCGCTGGATCTTTTCAAGCGGAGGCTGGACAACCATCTTTTGGGTATGTTGTAGGGCTGTCGCTCCTGCAGAGTGCAGGGGGTTGGACTAGATGACCTGCAAGGTCCCTTCCAACTCTAACATTCTATGATTCTATGACACCCCCCCTCGGGGAGGGCACAATTTCAGACAGGAAAGTTGCAGGAGTGGAGATTACAGGCAAGGACATGCCGGGAAATAGTAATAATAATAAGAGACTGGATTTATACCCTGCCCTTCACTCGGAGTCTCAGAGTGGTTTACAAACTCCTTTCCCTTCCCCCTCCCCACAACAGACACCCTGTGAGGTAGGTGGGGCTGAGAGAGCTCTTGACACAAACTGCTCTTTTTCACGAACAGCTCTTGTCAGAACTGTGGCTTGCCCAAGGTCATCCAGCAGCTGCAAGTGGAGGAGTGGGGAATCAGACCCGGTTCTCCCAGATGAGAGTCCGCACACTTAACCACTACACCGGACTGGCAGAAGAGGCACAGCATGAGACCCAGCTTTTGGCAAGTCCCTTGCCTAGTACATGCCCTCCCCCCTGGTCTTTACCTGTGCCTTGCCCCGTGGATTGAACCAGCCTGGCCTCTCCCACCCGTGTCTCTCCTGAAAGACGCAGCCTTGCTGTAGCAGCTCCTGTGGGGCAGAAGAAGTGGAAGGAAGGGAGGCAGGAAGGGGAACTGGAAGGACAGGAGACCTCCAAACTACAAGCCTGTAGCCAAGTAGCGGGCTGCGTTGTTCATATCAGCGTGTAAATTCACCCACCCTGAGTGGCATTCATGGGGGGAGAAGACGGAGTTGTCAGGCGGCCACAGTGGAGGGAAGGCGTCCAGTGCCATGCCAGGCCCTGCCGGCAGCAATCAGAGCAGGGGAAGGCCTCAAGACTTCACCAGCCGCACTGGAACCGCTCCAGAGCATAGAGCGGAGCAAGTGGTGGCAGCACACCTACGTTGGCACCGTACCTCCTGGGCTGGGTCATGCAAGCATCTTCATCATTAAGTGGCTGAAAAACTGAGCGATGCCTCCCGTGCCTGATGGGCCTCCTCTGACAGAACTTCCATTTCCTTTCCGCCAACTCCAGCCGAATGCTTGTCACTGAGCAGGGTTGTCATCTCTGGGTGGGGAATGTCCTGGAAATTTGGGGGGGGGGACGGAGTCTTGGGAGGGTGGGGTAGAAAGCCATACACCCTCCAAAGCAGCCGTTTTCTCCAGTTGTAATCTGAGGCCCCACCTGGAAGTCAGCAACCCTACGGTGAAGTCTATTTATACATTCGGCTGCGAGTTGCCAAGTGTTCGGCTGTCATCTGCAGAGAGCTGATGAGCAGCACGACCAGGACCAGCCTTGCTCAGGAGTAGTTAGAGGCTCAGTCTCAGGTTTTCGCAGTCGGTTGCTGCTGACTGGCCTTCTTTTTCTTCTTTCTTCTTGTTTTCTTTCTTCCTTGTCTGGCTGCGCTGTGCAGCGCTGCTCAGGCACGTCCCGCTGAAAGCAGGGCCGGCTAGAAACTGGGGAAGCCTCTGGAGGATAAGCCCCTCCCCGCCTGGATCATTGCTCAGAGCCGGAGGGAGGAGCTTAGATCCCACTCGTAGAGGACTGTCCCACAATGAACCACTGGAGAAGTCCAGATCACTATGCAGAGACAGGCAAGGGCAAGCCACCTCTGAAAGCCTCTTGCCTTGAAATCTGGAAAGTGAAGGAGGGCTGGCCCTGGTTAGTATGTGGATGGAGGGGCACCAAGGAATGCCAGGATGTTGCTGTGCAGAGGCAGGCCACGGCAAACCACTATCATCAGATCTTGGAAGCTAAGCAGGGCCGGCCCTGCTTAGTACTTGGATGAGAGACCACCAAAGAAGTCCAGGGTTGCTACGCAGGGGCGGGCCATGGCCAGCCATCTCTGTTCACCTCTTGCCATGAAAACTTCACGGGGTTGGCCTAAGTCGGCTGTGACTTGATGGTGCTTCCCCCCAGCTGCAGAGGTCATTTCGGGGGGGATCGTGGGGGATCGCAGTTCCCCCGGGTGAGGTGTGAGGGGGCGGGGCACATGACGAAGCCCCGCCCCCTGCTTCCGGCCGCCCCGCTTCCGGCCCTCATTCAGCCAGGAGGAGGCAGGAGAAGAGGGAGGGTAAGTTGCTTCCTCCCTGCCTCTCCCCACCCCTGCCTGCCTGGGGCCAGGGAGGGCCTTCGCGGGGCTTCCTTGCACTCCCGCCGGCCTTGCAGGTCCACCGCCGGGCCCCTCATGGGACTCGGCAGTGGAGCTGCAAGGCCGGCGGCGGCGGCCGGGACCGTTGGGGGCAGGGTGTGTGGCCTTATGACACACTTCCGGTGATGTCAGGGGGTGTGGCCTTATGACACACTTCCGGTGACGTCAGGGGGTGTGGCATATGCTAAGGAGTTATGCTAATGAGTTCCCCTAGCTCTTTTTCTATGAAACGACCCCTGCCCAGCTGCATTATGCGAAGAAGCCCAATAACTTTCCTTGACAACGATCAGAGCGGTCCCAGTGTGGCCTGGGGGTTCTGACCCAGAATCGGACAAAGACAGTGCAAGTGAACAGCAGGTTTGGATTTTTTTTAATGTGAAAGTTCATTTAATTTATTTCCATTTATAGTCTGCCTTTTTCACTGGGACTCAAGGCGGATTACAAGTATGACAGAAAGCGGCTGTTTCTGGGGAAGGGTGAAGTCAAATGTACCGGCCAGGAAAACTCCAACCTTCCAGTCTGCCATACATTTTTTCAGATCTGGTTCCTGTTATTGTTTCTTCAATCTGCTTCCACTTTGGTGTCATCCCCCCCCCCCCAACTTCTTCACCTTTTGGACCCGACCAATCAGGGATCACACAGTAAAGCTCTTCAGGCCTGTTGCTTTCAGCCTAATATCTTTTGGGGGGTGCTTCTTCCTCCTTGGCTGGGCAACGAGACCAACATTTCCTCTCATGCACCACTGCGACAATTACACAGTTTCACTGCCGATCAGTGTCGTATAGCAAGACTCACACCCCAAAATAGCTCTCAATACATATAGCTTCATATGATTAGTTGGGGATGAGGCTCTCTTGGAGATGTGCCTTTGAGTGCAGACAGTGCCTGTTCAGGCAGCATTACTGTCATTAGGATGTGCATTTGGATGCATGGCCAAATGCACATCTCTGCCCCCATTCTCCCCAACCCCCAACTAGTGAACTTGGCATGATCGGATCAGAAGGAGGGAGTGTTGGCCCCGTTGCCTTGGCAACAGCAGTGTGTTCGCTTCCCTTCCCATCATCTTGCAAAGAGTGCGCAACATTTCATAATGGGGTGCAATCACTCAAGGGGGGGGTTGTATGCTAATTTTGGAAAGGGTGAAAGCGTTTGTGCAACGCTCTGTCTCAGCTCAGTATGAGTCTTTAATTCTCCCATCCTTTTCCTCTGCTGTCGACTCCTTTCAAGGAAGAGGCTTAATTCAAGGCAAAGCTGCTGTGGCACTCTGGGAGGATTACAGCCCGTCCTTGGCGGCCTGGCCAAGTGAGTCTCCTAAGCAGCCCAGGGCCCCCTGGGGCTATTAATTCAGATCCAGCCAGCTTGACGGGAGCAGTCCTTTGCTGCCTCCCCCTCCACGGACAGCATACAGCCAGGGCTGGAGACTGGCACCGCCAGGATGTGAGGCAGACTCTGTCATATCCCACCCGCCAATCTACCTCCTGGGCTCAGGCAGGCAGGCAGGCAGGCAGGCGGGGTGGGGGTCTGGGGAACGTCCAGCTTCACCACTCTCTGGGTCACATCCTCCAGCTGCAAGAGTCTCCCTTGCATTCTTAAACATGCACATCCTTACTTCGTCTAAGAACGTTCACACTGATAACATCAGGATGTGTGTGTGTGGGGGGGGGGGGTCAGTCTGAGCTAGAAACCTCCAGAGCCCAGTCTTAAGGGGTAGAGAAACGCTGCAGTGTACCTCTGGAAGTGCTGGAAAAGACTATCTCTGAGCATGGGCAGAGGGGCTGCAGCACAGCATTGCTAGCCATGTGAGCTGTGAGGCAAAGGTGTGGGAAGCCTCCACTAGACCTCTCAACGGAAGAGGCCACGTTCCCTCCAGGCAGCTGCCACCAGGCAGGTCGGAGCAGCAGAGGCGGCTGCCTGGACAAGGCCGTGCATGGCCACACCTGAATCCGGGCCTCCCAGACCAGAGCCGGAAGCTGCAAAGCCACAAGGCAATGGGCCGCGCTGAGTGCAGAAGGCGCCGCTCCCTCCTTGCACACCAAGCTTGGCCCAGTGGTGGGGGAAGGGCCATCAAGCCACAGCTGACCTATGGCACAGCCCCTGGCGGGGTTTTCACAGCAAGAGACGACCGGAAGTCGTTTCTCTGTTCAGAGCTGGCCTGCCCCTGCGGAGCCACCCTGGTCTCCCACCCGAGCACTAACCTGGGCTGACCCTGCTTAGCTTCCAAGACCTGACGGGGCTGGGCTCGGCTGGGCCACCCAGGGCAGGGCAGAGGCTCCCTCCCTCCAGCCCGTGACCAGACCAGGTGCTGCTGAGGAGGGCTCCAGGGCTGAGCAGGCTCCGGCCCAGCCCAGGTAGAGCCCCGCGCTTCAGAGTCCCTGGCCCAAGCCGCCACCTGGTTTCCCACGAGCAGGCCGTTTCTGTGCCCGTTGTTTCTGTGCCCACCGGTTTACCCCCAGTGCACCTGCACCTCCGGGAGCCCCCCCTCCCTCCCTCCCTCCCCCGAGGGCCAAGCTCTCACCTTGTGCAGGGGGTCCTTCCTCATGTTGCGCCCTGCCAGGGGCTCGTCGCAGGGGAAGACGACAGAGTAGTTCTTGGCATACGACTCGTGGCTCCGCTCTCGGAGCCAGCGGCTGTTTCCGGTGAGGGAGTGGTGGAACCTCCTGAGAGCCAAAAAAGAATGCCAGGGAAATCAGGGCACAAATCGCAGCCCTTTGTCCCAAAGGGATGTCCTCAAGGAAAACCAGAGGCCTCCCGCAAACAGGAGCTGAGGAGGAGCAGAAGATTGTTGCGGTGGGGGGGAGCTGGGTTGGGATGCAAGTATTCTGGGAGGTGGGCACTGGATACCGGGGCAGTGAGGGGAGCTTGCTGGAGCGAGTGTGACCCATTTCTCCAACATCTGCCAATGGCATGTTTGGGGGTAAGGTTGTAATGCAGGCAGAGGCTTCCCGGCTGAGCCCTAATGATGACGGGCATGCTTACACACACACGCGTGCGTGCGTGCCATCTTGGACGAGAAGACGCTGCTGCAGTGAAGAATCAGAACAAAGGAGCCTGTCTGCAGGTGTTGACACAAGAGAGCTCCCCTAACTGCTGCTTGGGAACAGGCTGCTTCCTCCACAGAAGAATGTCAGGAAATTAAAATAAATTATGTTTTGAGTTCTAGTGACATCGCTCTATTCCTCCGGTTCCTTAAGAGGCAGAGTAAGAGACGTCTTCTCTTTCTGTGCAGAAAGACAAAGAGACACGACATGCTTGTAGAATGAGGGTGCTTCGGAGCCTAACCCTAACCTTCAACCCACCATATCCTTTCCTCTCCTGGGATAACCTGGGGGGGGGCAGATGAGTGATCTTGACATTCTTCTGACCATTTCAATCCAAATGTAGCAAAAAAAAAAAGCAGCAGTCAGCTCCAATTGGTTAGCACCTGTACCTTCACCAACACATCATACCTTTGTTTCATGAGCAGTCTTGCAGCTTGTTTAAATATTATAATGAGACAAAATGATGTACAAAACAGCTGTGTCTCAGTGGAAGACCATCCGCTTGCCATGCAGAAGATCCCAGGTTCAATCCCTGGTGTCTCCAGCTAAAAGACCCCGGAGAGCCTCTGCCCATCTGAGTAGACAAGATTGGCCTTGATAGACTGAAGGTCTGATTCAGAAGAAAGCAGCATCATGATTTCCAGTAAATACACATATAAAGGTAAAGGTAAATGTTCCCTTGCTCGAAAGCCAGTCGAATCTGACTCTAGGGTTGCGGTGCTCATCTCCGTTTCAAAGCCGAAGAGCCAGCGCTGTCCGAAGATGTTTACGTGGTCATGTGGCCGGCATGACTAAACACCAAGGTGCACGGAACGCTGTTACCTTCCCACCGAAGTGGTACCTATTTATCTACTTGCAATTTCTTGCTTTCGAACTGCTAGGTTGGCAGGAGCTGGAACGAGAGACGGGAGCTCACTCCGTCATGCGGCACACTCGGGTCTCGAACTGCTGAACTACCGACCTTCCACAGCCTGCAGTTCAGCGTCTTAACCACTTGAGCCACCGCAGCTCATTTAATTAAAAACAAAACTACACTTCCCAACTGAAAGACAAAGGGAAGGGCAGCTGACAACTGGTTCAGCGTCTGAGTTATTGATATGTCAATCTGCAAGGCCAGAGTAAGGCAGATGTCTGGCCCACAGCACGCACAAACAACCTGCTGTGAATTCCTGAGAGGATGTAGTGCCCCCGGGGAATGAGCAAGCCCCAGGCCCACAGTGGGTGGAAGCTCTTCTCTGGGAAACAGCAAAAGAGCAGGGGCCCAGGTGTGAAACTCAAGGCACTGCTGGTCCCAGCCGTTTTAAAAAGAAAAAAAGAGGAAAAGGGATACGGATGAACTCCATCCAAAATAGGTTCTCTTCTTATTACGGAGTACTGAGCCCTTGAAACATGAACAAGCAATTTAAAAAAATTATGACCCCTATTTCAGGAAGTCAGGCCAGTCTCAGGAACAGATGAAACAGCCTTTCGTTCAAATGCCAATCCCATGAAAATAAGAGGTAGAAAGCCAAGGGTATTTTTTACACTTCTCCCCAGCGTTCCCCAGACTAAAATATAAATTACCACACAAAGGATTTTAAATACGGGACCTTTTTCTGCCTATGCAACCAAAAAGAACTCTTGCAAGGAACCTGCCTGTTCAGCAACATGTTCTTGCTGGGATGATGAACGGAGAGCTCTCCGTCACAGACAACGGTCCTTCCACCTGACAAAGGGGTTTCCGCCGACATTTCTCACTTCTGACAAGAAAGCTAATCTCCGAGAATTCCTGTGGGCCTCCACCCAAGCCACAGTCTCCAAGAACTCAGGGGAGAGGAGGCGAGGGTGCCCCTGGGCACTCTGTCCAGGACCCCCCCCAAAAAAAAACCTGGAACTCTAGGAGCTGCTTTAAAACGAATGCCACAGGTCATACAAGACTGGGGCTGCCAAGCAACCCGGTTCCTTTTGGCAAGCAGTTAACTTGCACCCTTGGAGGTAACCCCCAGCAGAGCCAACGCAGCAGCCATCTGCAGAGTCTGCCAGTCCTTCCACCCCTGATCCACAGGACCAGCGGTGGTCACCATAACCAGGACTGCTGAGAGCCACCATGGGCCCCCAGAGCAAGATTTTACGCCCCCCCCCCATACGACCCTGATCCAAATCAAATATCGTAACAAAACAAAACAAATTCCTTGGGGTGCTGTCACCATGGGTCTAGAGTAATAAAATAATCGGCCTGTCTGTCCCACTGTTTATTTACCTAATTTTACTTCTATCCCACTTTTCTCCCCAGTGGGGACCCAAAGTGACGCATGCTCTTTTCTTCTCCTCCATTTTTATCCTCACAGCAACCCTGTGAGGTAGGTTAGGCCGGGAGCGGGTGACTGGCCCTAGGTCACCCAGCAAGCTCCCATTGCAGAGCGGGGATCTGAACCTGGGTGTCCCAGATCCAAGTCCTGGGCTTTAACCTCTAACCCACGCTGGCGGGGATAACTCATCAGAGAGTGAAGCTAGGCGACTCAGAATTGGCCACCAGCTTCAGGAGGATTGTGGGAATCCCCGGGCCAAAATGGGAAGGCATGGGGAAATCCTGGCCCAGGTGAGACAAACCACCACCGCCCCGGGCTATTGGCAGTGGAAGCGAAGGGTCTCTGTTTGTGGCCGCGTAACTCATCAGAAAATAACGCTCCGTGCTTGGAAACTGGCCACCAACCCCGGAATGATGATGGAAGTTGCAGTGCCCAAAACGAAGGGAACGGGAACGCCCTGAACCAGGTTATCTTCATGACAGGCAACATGTAATAAGAGAGCTTTTAAGCAACCTGTCACGTGTCTGTAATACTCAGATCCCCAGCCCGCCATGGAAGGTTGCTAGGTGACACACTCTGCCAGACCTACCTCACAGGGTTGTTGTGCAGATAAAATGGAGTACAGAACAATGCATGTCTGGGTCTCCCTTGGGAAGAAAGACTGGGTATTTTGCATATGCAGCCTCATTGGCCTTTGCCTCGGAACACAGAGGTCGTTTGCATTTGCGACTTGATTGGCTTTTGCCTCTAACATTCTAAGCAGTTTGCTGTTCTGAGGTAAAATGTGTCCAATCTCCAGGTGAGGGCTGGAGATCACTCAGAATTACAACTGCTTTCCAGATGGCAGAGATCAGTTCCCCTGGAGAAAATGGTGGGCTCTGTATCCTTATAAGCTGCTGAGGTAGCCCCGATATGACATCCAATGTGATGTAGCAATCAGGGCTTCAGAGCACGGGAGAGGCTGCAGGTGTATGAGGGGTGGAAAGCTGAAGGGTTAGGGGGAAATAAAGGTAGGTTGATGGTTGGCTGGGAAGGATATAGGGTTGCCAACTCCAGGTGGGAAATTCCTGGAGAGTTGAGGGATGGAGCCTGGAGAGGGTGAGGCTTCAGGAGGCGTGGGACCTCGGACAGGTACAAAGCCATAGACTCCACCCTCCAAACCAACCATTCCCTTCTGTTCTTTAGGTAGCAGAGATCAGTTCCTCTGGAGAAAATGGTGGACTCAGTGTCATTATACCCTGCTGAGGTCGCCACAGCAAATTGACACTTGAGTGTCCAAGGCCGGGGCACCCGCTCAGAGCCTCTTTCTAGAGGCCGTTGTATTTATTTCCACAACGGGCCTTTTTCCTAGTTTGTTATAAATGTAATAATGCTATTTGAAAGATGACATTATTAGTTGTCATATAGCAAAATAGCCTTTACAAAGGGCTTTTAGATCTTCCACCAACACCAAGGAGCAAAGGAGAGAGTCAAATAAATCTTTTAAAAAATAAATAACTGTACAGACAGACACAGGCGTTGAAACAAGTAAAGAAACAAGGGGCTGGGGCTGGGAGCTACCTTACAAGCCACCAGAGGCAGGAGGGATGGGGGGATTTATATATGGATAGACTGCTGGCATTTTATGTCCTTTATAATTTTTAATACTTTAAACATCTGTTGCTAAAAAAGAAAACAAGCAAATGAACCAAAATTTACAATTACATTCTAGCAATTTTTTTCAATTTAAACTTTTTAAAAAAAGCAAATGGTCTATTTTATAAAAACAGTGCCTTTTACTAAAGAGATAATAATGTAAACCTCATTAGATGGTTTGCTTTTTCAATTAGTGAATGCCTTCCTTTCCCGGTTTCTATCCCCTTTGACATCTCCCACTGCATCTTCCTTTCTGGCTGGGAAATCCAAATGCCCTCTTTGCTATAGATTCATATTGATCTTGCAGATGGATTTACTGATTTCAGATTGCTGACCAATCGAATGCGTTCTCTGTTTGCTATCAAGCTGTGCTCGCTTAAAACGGTCAAGCATATTTTGGAAACCTAACTTGGGCTTAAATCCCTTTGACTCAATATAATTAACTGATTTTAAGTAAGCATCACGCCAGACCAGTGTGATGTCTTCCAGTCTCACCACTCATCTTTTAAAGTGAAGCGAATGAAATTTACAAGTGCTCATTTTGAGTTCTACTTGGCCTTGTAAGCCGCCCTGAGCCTGCTTCGGCGGGAAGGGGCGGGGTATAAATCAAATCAATCAATCAATCAACAAGATGCATCAGCTTGGAAGTGGCTCAAGGTGTTTTGCATCCTAAGCGGGGGACCTTGGCAGTCCCCC